AAAGTAAATGAGCCTTAACACTACTGTAATCAACAACTGATATACCTGGAAGAGCTGGAGTTGGAAACTGGAATTTAGTTACAATTCCTCAGTGAGATCTTCTTGTATAAAGCAAGCCTTGCAGGTAGAGCTGATCTTGAAAATCCAAACCCCTTCTCTGTAGATGATTCTCAATAAATTGACCTCATATAAGTGAAGCATGTTCTCTAACACCGGCATTGGATCCTCCTCCAAACGACACCAAGTTAGAGATATGGTTTTCAGGTTAGAAGGGAATTGTTGTTCATCAGGTAACTTTGGCATATGTAGACTCGATTACTCAACTCTAACTTCACCTTTGCACGCATTTTTCCCTGGTAATGAGAGGAATCTCAATCCTTGCATCTCTCTCAGAAAATTGGGCATGTCGAGTTGAGATCCCATGGATACATCTAGGTTTAAATACAACAGTTGCTTCAGATGCCGCATAGAAGAAGGTAATGTGCCAGATATAGACTCAGATATTTCAAGTGGATGAGCTTCCCGATGTTAGAGGGTAACTTCCCTCCTTCAAACTGGGCACACCAGAGATCTAAAATCCTCACCAATTGTAGCCTTGTAAAGCATAAACCTGAATCTGGTCCCCCAAAACTGCTTGATAAACAAGAGAGATCTAAGGCTTGGATTCTTCATTTCCCCCTCTACATTAAATGTTTCATCAGTCCAATGTACAGCGATTCTGCGAGTTTTACAAGGGGATTTAGAGTTTGCAGTTGATGTGCCGTGAACAATTTGTAGGAAATTCTCTTCTTTAGCTTTAAGCAGACAAACTTCTCTCATCATATCATGCAACTGACATGTTTCAAATCTTGAAGTCTTACCATCTCTTTCGGACATAACCATATTTCTCTTAACCAAATCTTCTATGTAGACATGTGCAACATCTCGAATGCTTTCACTCTCATAATTCTTGGGATTTAGTATTCCTTCTGCAGCCCAGTACCAAGACAAATCCTCCACTTTTATTGGATAATCTTCTGGAAAATGGGCAAGGTAGAGGAAACATTGCTTCAAATAAATAGGCAACTCTTCAAAGCTGAGAGACAATATATGGTGAACCGAATTGCGATTTCCGTCATTAAAACTAGATCTAATATTCTCATAGACCTTTTTCCACTCACTTAATTTTTGTTGGGCAGCTAACAACCCTCCTAACACTTTGACAGCCAGCGGTAGTCCGCCACAATGTTTTATCATTTTCTTGCCCATCTCTTCCATTTCTACATCAAACCGACTAGTATTTTGAGTAGATATTGGGTTTGAAAATGAAGATATGATGCAGCTAGACGTAAAAGAGTTTTTTAAGTTTTTACTAACGTGAAAAAGATATCTTCCTTGGAATCTTACCTGCTGTGTCTTTCCTAGGAAATGCTATCCTCCGAAAAAGTGTCCAACTTTCTTCAGGGGTTAAGCATTCTGGTCTAAAAGTGACGCATGTTGGTGCACGTGATCCAGAAGTAAGCAGTACCTTCCATCCTGCAATGAGTTTGGCTAGTTATAATGCTTAAACAAAAGGAAATATATACTACCAGTGTACCTTTTCATGCTCTATATTTTTCTTAAAAAAGGATAGTAGAGGATGTAACAGCCTTAAGTACGTAGGGAAACACAGGCTTTATTATGTCCCAATCTTCTTCTTTCCACATATCATCCAAGACAATCAAATACTTATTGGTTCCCAACAATCGAAAGAGTTTGTCCTGAAGCTCGTCTTCAGTCATATCTGAGTCTCTATGTTTTGAACAAAGCCTCTGCAAGATTGTCTGCCACACATATTTCCGTGTAAATTGTTGTGACACAAAGACCCACGCAACTCCATCAAAACTGTTTTTTACCAACTCATGATTAAAAACTTGTCGAGCCAGGGTAGTTTTACCAATACCGCCCATCCCACATATAGAAACCACTTGAATGCTCTCCTCCTCTACCAAATAGCCAACCAATTTCTTCACATTTTGCTCCAAACCCACAAAATCACTTTCGTTGTCGCTAGGATAAGTATGTCTCATCTCCCTTTGTCTTTCTTGAAGAAGTTGTGGATATCTTCCATCGGCAATAATCTCTCGTACCTCAAACTTTTTCATATCTCTAATCACATTGGAGATCCTCTTACTTATGCCTTCCATGTCGAACGCAAGTTTCCTGTGATCCATTATTGTGAAAGGAAGTCTTCTCATGCGCTTCGTGAACCCACCTGTTCGTCCAAGTTCTTCCTTCAGAAGAAAGGTTTCGATGACATCCTCCGCAGCAAAAACAATTTCCTTGATCTCTTCCACACATTTTTTAACCATTGCACTTGAATGTTTCTTGGCATCTGCATCTTCCAAAAAGCCCCTTAACATATTCAGATCACTTTTTAATCCATTGAATTGTCCATCAACTCCCTGAATTCTCTCAGATTCTTTGATAAGGAGGCTCCAAAGCTTCTCGACTCCAAACGACAAAAGTGTCTCCGCCATAAATCTGCTGCTTAACCATGAGACTAGTAGTCAATAATCACTAGAAGAAGATTCATGACTTCATAATTGAATAACATTTTTTCCAAAACTTATAGAATAAACATTAATCCACAGGTCTTTGTATAGAGACATG